AAAAGATTTTGTATAGTTCAAAATAAACACACATTCATGGTGTAAACTACAGACAGATCAAAGAACATAAAATAAGAATCACTTGAATTCTCATCATCAACTGTGTGTGTGTGTGTGTGTGTGTGTGTGTGTGTGTGTGTGCCCCTCAGGCAGAACAATAAGTATTCTTTTTTTAAATTTTATTTTTAATTGAGGAGTAATAATTATACCATATGATGTTTTGATACATGTATACATTATGGAATGATTAAATCAAGCTAATTACCACATCCATTGCCTCACATACTACTATTGTGGTGCAAACATTTAAAATCTCTCAGCAATTTTGAAATATACATTACATTATTATCGATTAGTCACTGTGCAATAGATCTCAAGAACTTACTCCTAACTGAAACTTTGTACCCTTTGACCAACGTCTCAACAAATATTGTTAATATTTTTGGTTTCTATCATTAAGTGCGCTGTATATGCTCTACATTTTTCTCAGATGCCCTTAAATGGGTTTTTCAGTTCCTTGTTTGCTAAAAGGTTTATTTTGTTTTAACTTATGAATGAGTAGTTTTAATTTTATTGAATCCTTTTTCATGCATTTATTGAAATGATCGTACTTTCCTCCCCTTCCTTTAGTCTGGCAATGTGATAAAAGTGCATGAACCGTTTTTTTCTAATGTTAAAACAGCCTAGCAACCCTGGGATAAGACCAATTTTCTGTTTTTAAATCATTATTAGATGTTGTCTTTTGTTTGTGTTTTTTTCATGATTGAGATCAATCTGTAGTTTTCCTTCCTGCAAAGTTAACATTTGTTGAGTTTCTGCTCTTTGTCTTGTTCTGTGTAGACAAGTAGATTGTTGGCATTTATTTGACTCCACATTCTTTGGTCGTACATAGACATCCCACAGTGTACCCTTTTCAGTGATGTGATATTTTACCACATTATGAAGTTTTCTTTCCAGTGAAGATTCTAAAGTTTGGCTTAAATTCTCTGGGACCAAGTCAGTTGGCGTTAGTTGTTTGGAGTCTTTCTTGAATTCAGTATACATTTTTATGGAGCATAGTTGAGTCCTTTTAAAAACAGGTTATTGTTAAAAAATTGTTTCTTTGTTTTTCATGAACAGAAGCCGTCAGACGTTGAAAGTCAGAGAACACAGTGTGTTGGGACCCTATGTCGATGGACTTTCTAAACTGGCTGTCACAAGCTACAAGGTAACAACATTTTCTATGTGAAATACTTAAATTTAGTGCAGCAAAGTTTTTTTGTT